TTTTGTCAAGTGGCCTCAGCCGCCTCTGCGAGCTGCAGCCGCGGTCAGGATGATCCAGGGCTCTTGGTCGCCGCCGCTGCGACCCCAAGGTGCCGTTGAGTTCCGCTGCCTCTGAGGGGGTGTTGRATGTGAAGACACCAGTGGTGTTTGTCCTCATCCTGCTGCTGCCTTGACCGCACTGATGGACTAAGGACAGCAGCGGCGTTGCTCTTCCGTAGGATTCTTTAAGTCCTCAGCGCCCTCCATGGGGAAGGAGGCGGCATCCATCATTCCCGTGGCTGCCACAACGCTGCGCCTGCGGCAGCAACGCTGCTCGCGCATCCCTGTGGCCAGAGCGGACCGGAGAGCCAGGCCATCTGCACAGGGAAAAAAAAATAGATAGCTGACCTCCTGTGCCAGCACAGCACAGCCCAAATAAAGGGTTTGCAGATGCTGCTCAGGCAGGATTAGGCCTCCAACGTGCTAAGTCTCGGCTCTCAAGGGGCSTAATTGCTGCTGCCATAAGCTCTGGCTCGTCCTTTCCTGAACTGGTCTCCCCACACGCTCCCTGCTCAGAGAGTTTTCCGCCTGGGTTTGCCGGGTTTCCCTGCCTGGCGGGAAGGCAGAGGAAGGTGGGAAATCTGCAGGTGCTGCTTCTTTAGCTCTGCTTTCACCTCGGCAAGCCTCCGGCCACTCCTCCCTGCACACAGAGTCTAAAGCGTGTCTGGTCTGTGCACGAGGAGCCCGGCCAGGAAGGCAGGGACAGGTAGCAGCAGCATCGCTACGTGGCCAGGCACGCGTTGAATGGAATTAGGAACCTCTCCAAACTGGGATTACTCTGATTTTAATAAACCTTTTTTTTTTTTTTTTTTTTTTTTTTTTTTTTTTTTTGAGCGGTTTCCCCGCTATGTTTTGGCCGGCAGATGAGGCTGGAGGGGCTCCAGGGTGGCTGTCAGAGCGGGCGCGCGTGCCAGTTCGGCCTGGCAGCGGAGAACACGGGGACACGCAGGCAGAGGGGAGGCTCGTGGCGGCCTCCCCCGGCTCGGGCACCGCTCAGGAGGCTGGGCTGGCAGGACAGCAGCGACCACAGCAAAACCTCCTGCGCTGCATCCACCCAGCCCCCGTGAGCAGCCTTTAAATTATACAAAGGAGCTTTTCCAGGAGCCTGAAGGGAAGAGAACAACTTTCTGCCAGTGCCTGCCTCTAAGATCCGGCCAGCTGCTCTGATCGGGACCCTTCCCAAACCTGTCAGTGGTGGCTCAGCCCTGTAAAGTGGCTCAAATCAGTCACTTTCTGGCAGGTGGAGGCCACTCACTGAACTAGAAGATGCACGAGGGCTTTGTTTACCCTCAGAGCAGTCAGAGAGAAAGAGTAGATGATCTGCCCAGAGCCAGGAGAAAATAATGATAAGAATCACTGCAGAACATGAAAAGCAAAGATACACCACAATTTTATTGACGGGCGCACAATAAATAAGTGATGGGCAAAACAGAGAGAGACACATTCAGAGAAAAAAAAATAAATAAAACAAACCCAGATCACTAAAGTGCTTTTAGACATAAAAAAAAAAAAAAAAAGACCACCAAGAAATGGCTTGGACATTACATTTTTTACAGACACTTAACAAAATATTCTCCTATGTCGGTTCACAAAGTCACTTAGTTGATCCCAGGTACTATGGCTTGGTTTGCAATAAAAGGTTGGTTCTCTTATGCATAGTATGGCAGAAAACATTCAGGCGTGTACAAAAAAAATCATTGCATAAATAGAAGTGTCCTTCCCCCTGCCCCCAGGTGCAAGTTAAGGGAGCTGCACAGTGTAAATCCAGTGATAAGGCTGTAGTGGAGGCTGGATAGCCGCTGGATGGTGGGCTCTGCAGTGTTTAAAACCCTCCTTGGTTGCTCCTTGGTGGGGAGAGTTGCGTGCTTGGAGTGCAGGGAGGCGCCCTGGGGGTGCTGGATGTCCTTGCAGAAGGTGCTCACCCTTTGCACCGGCTCCCATCGCGTTGCTGCTCTCAGCACGGCTGGCTGGGAAGCGCTCGCATCCCAGCAGGAGGAAGGGAAAGGGAAGCTCTTTGTAGGAGACTGTCCATGGTCTTGTTTTCGCACTGCTTTTCAGGCCAMGTTCAGCCTCCTCTCCCACCCACCCTCCACCCTGGCTTCATCTTGGCTCTGCTGAAAAGTGAAGGGATGGAGCAGGGGATGGGAGTCAGTTTGAGAATGCCCTGAATCCTGATAAAAGTTCAATCATTTGATGAAAAAAATATATATATGTTATATATAAAATCAATAAATATTCTCATCTTCCCCAGGAGCTGTGAGGCCTTGGCTCCGCGGGGGCAGTCCAAGCTCAGTGGTCCCCCTCCTCTGGCTTTGCGGGAGTGTCTCCGTTGAGGCCTGGCCTCAGCACTACGCTCCCCTTCTCCTGCTTGGCCGTCCTGGAGAGGTCGATGGCCGCRTCCTCCGGAGCGCTCACTGGGCTGCCGGGCGGCTCGCGGCTCCTCGGGGAAGCGGCTGCCTTTCCTTGGCGCTCCTCCCCGGGACGCAGCTCCTGCCAGCTGCCCTCTGTCGCCTTCTCTTGGCTCTCCGCCTTGCGGCTCACCTCCATGGACTTCTTGTGCATGCCTTGCGTGGAGGAAGAGGAGTGTGAGGGGCGCCGCCTCAGCACCTCGGGAGCTCCAGGCCGCCCCTGCCCCTCCCCGTGCCCCAGGCACCGCGGCCAGCCCACGCTGCAGCTCACCCAGCAGCCATGGGGCGCAGGATCCCACCAGGCCGCTCTTGGCCGAATTGATGATGGACTCGGGCAAGGGGATGGAGTGCCTCACCATGGCGCCGTAGAGGCCGTACTCGGCCATCACGCTGCTCCGGCCCCAGCACTTCTCCCTCTTACGCCACTTGGCTCTTCGGTTCTGAAACCAAACCTTCAGGGGTAACGCCAGGAGAGCACGGAGGGGTGGGAGAGGCGCAGGAGATGGCACCCGTGGCCGGCACGCCGGGCCCGTCACGCACGAGGAGCACGTGTCCAGGCCGGTGGTGGGAAGGGGGGCAGAGGGGCAGTGCATGAAGTGGGGGAGGGTTGGGGAGGGCACAAGTGAGCATTAGAGGGGAAGGAGGAGGGAGGAAAGGGAGCACACATTACACGAGGCTGCTCACAGGGTGAGAAGCTCTTCCCAGGCACAGGCACTGCCAGGGGGCCCCTTTGCTCTGCCCGCTCAGAGGGCCCCGTGCCACCTGTATCTCCTGAGCATGGGAGGTCACCCTGCATCACCTAATCCTGGAGCCCCCCCTACATCTCCCAAGTCTGGGTGATCACCACACAGGTGCTGATGCTCAGTGCTCCTCTCCCCACCTTCCCGCCTCATGGGCACTCCCCAATACTCCCAACTCATCCCGAGAGCTGCTCCACAAGGCAGGATTGGGACCCCCCAAAGCCATGTGCCCCTCCAAGGGTGTGTGAGGGAAGCAGCTCTGCAGCTCCCACTGCTGACAGCTCTTGGGGAGACGGAGCCGAGCTGCCCACGACGACGGGGCAGAAGGGGCTCCCTCTCGGGCAGCCTGCAGGTGCCTGGGGCGGCCGCCTACCTGTATCCTGTCCTCGGGCAGCTCCGTCTTGACGGCGAGCATCTCGCGCGCGTACACGTCGGGGTAGTGCGCCTCGTTGAACGCCTTCTCCAGCTCCTCCAGCTGGTGCGCCGTGAACACGGTCCTGCGGGCCGGGGGGGCCGTCAGCGCCGCGGGGACGGCGCCGCCGCCGCCGCCGCCGCCCGGGCCGCTACCTGTGGCGCCGCTTCTTCCTCTTCACGGGCGCCGTCGCGGGCCTCGGCTCGCCGCCGTCCCCGGACAGGCTGTCCTCGTCTGGCAGCGTGCGGGGGGAAAGCGCGTTGGCCGCGGCACCCGCGGCCGCCCCCTCGCGCTCCTGCCCTCCCGCCCGCGCCC